GTTTGAAAAGCCCCCGGGCCCAATCATTCTTTCCCCATGCTCAGATTCCTATCCCAGGCCCAACCCAATGCCCAGTCTGGCTCCAGGGTCTCCACACTTGGTGCCCCTCCATTCATGTGTGCACACCTGGGCCCAAAGTGTGGCTGTCATGGGCATGCAGAGATGGAGCTTAGATGTGGGCTGAGACGGCCAGCAAAGCAGCTCCCTGCACACCTGGGTCAGGAGGGTCCCAAAAGGCCTCTTCTTATTTTTTCTACTTTAATTTTGCCAGTCACTAAGACTTGTCACTCTGGAGCCCTCTGATACCCAGGCTTAAGTACATTGTTAGCTAAACTATGGATCCAATTTCATCTCTCAATGAGGAGTATGGTTGCCCTGCCTGAGCAGGCAGACCAGCTTCTCTGACCTTCAGACCAGGCATCTTGATCATTACTCATCATGGGAGTTGTCTGGGGGTGGGTGTGAGACTTTCATGATGACCTTTTCAGTTTTTACCATGACTCATTGCCATGTTGCCTTGCTGTGGACTAGATAGGTGAGACCTCTGTTTTGTGATCATTATGTACTGTATGACTGGTCTTATAGAAGTCACTCCCATCTCTGTGTAAAGCCCACGAAGGCCGAAGCTTACAAATGGGCTGTATTGAGTTTCTCTTCATTCCTTCTGCATTCTTTTCTCACCAGGAGGTGGTGATGGATGGACAGCCTCTGGAGTGAGCCAGTGTGTAGCCTCTTCCCAAGATCCTGGGCCCCTTCTTAAGTCTATGGAGATGTATGATCTCAGCTTCCCTTCCTTCCCACCAATATGGCCACCTTCCTGGGTTGTGATAATTGTATGGCCAAGGGTTGGATCCTTCTATCTCTCTCTCACTTGAGTAATCACTACAAGGCCAGGTGGGCACATCCAGGCTCTACTGGCAGCTAAGATGAGGTCACCACAGCAGAGCCCTGGACTCTGTTACTACCAGGTAAAGGTGGCTTGAGGAAGAAGCCAGGATCTATCTGGTATGGCTGGGGCCACTAGCAGGGCCAGAGCAGTGAGGGTTGCTGAGCTCTTCCAGAATCCCTGGCTCACCACCAGGTACATAGATGTGCCGTGCCCTCCTCAGAGGCCACTCATGAATCTCTGCCAGCATGCCCTCCTCAGTGGCCTCCTTCCTCCTTCCTCATAGCCTAGCCAAATTGAGGTTCACAGCTGTGTCTGCAATGTGTCTTGTTGGCACTTTTACAGACGCCTTCACTTAGGTCAATATTGATCTGGCTTTTTCAAGCACTTCAGTTTTCTTCTTCCTTTCCCAAGGCCCCCTACAAAGGGCCCTGTAGTGGAGAGAGTGGGACAACACTGTGAGCATGGTTCTTGCTGGGAGAGCTCAGGGTATTGCTGAAGGTGGCAGAAATGCTGATACATGTGCAATAAGCAGTGACTGAAATTCCAAGGACGGTTCTGCCACTGAGCCAAGCTCAGCTGATTTCAACAGGACCTTGCATTTCTCAGCTATCTCTTTGCTCCTGTTTTTCCATTTGTCCTTTCTGGGGTGACAAGTCAACAGCTAGCGATGCCAAACAAGAGACAGTGATTCAGGCTGAGGGAAACAAGACAGACTTCCATCTTCAGGGCCCTCCCTGGAGGTGTCAGTGGGCTCTCACTGCTCTGAAGGCCTGTGTTCTATTTTTGTGTTGGCTAGGATGAGGTCCTACTGAGTCCATGGACTGAAGGTAGAGCTCACAGTGGGCTAGGATGAAGTCCTACTGAGTTCATGGACTAAAGTTAAAACACTGGGCTAGGATGAAGTCCTACTGAGTTCATAGACTCAAGGTAGAGCTTACAGTGTGCTAGGATAAAGTCCTACTGAGTTCATAGACTGAAGGTAGAGCTCACACTGGGCTAGGATGAAGTCCTACTGAGTTCCTGGATTGAAGGTAGGGCTCACAGTGGCCCCTTGACTGGAATGGGGAGTGGTGAGGAGTGAATGTGCTTACCTTACTATGTAGACGAAAGCTCAGCAAATATCAGTGAGATGCCTGAGGTCCTCTGAACAGGGTCTACATCAGGGCTAAGCTTGTCTCATGCCCAGTACCCTCATAGGAAGGTTCCCTATTAGCTACTGCCCTATGCTGTTTCCACACACTAGGACCTAGAGTCATTCGAATTGGTGTGTTAGGTACCTGGGGAAATTCCATCCCAAACCCCAGCCCAGTGTCCTGCTCACATCCAAGATGGAGTCACTGCTGTCCCAAAGTGAGAATGATATAAGAGCTTAGAATGTAATAGTTCAGTAGCAGCTTTTTGGTTACAAGCATCTCTTATTGGTCACTTGTCTTCCACTCTCAGCCTTGCACAACCCCACAGTCCAGCCTGGTCTTGCCTTTCTGGCTAGTGAGAGAGGAGATCTAGTCCTAGGGATAGGCTAGTGTCTCCAATTCTGTGGTCAAATGCAATTGATTATAGCACAATAAGTGTCAAAATATTTGTGTTCAGTGTGGCTTTTTTTCTCTGTTCATACTTAGATTTATTATAGAAGCCATGACAAAACAAAGCACCCCTACCACTAGCAGTTGCCTCCATGGGAGTGGGCTCTTCCCACCAGAGTGATGACAGCCAGTGGACAACAAAATCACGGCGCAGGCCCAGAATGTGCAGCTGGCCCACCAAGGTATTGCCCTTGTCTCTGTCCTCTGTCGGGCTCTTTTCTGTCCTCTTGGGAGAGAGGCCCATCTGACTGTGTTGTTTGCCTGTTCTTGGGTGTTTAAGTCCACCTCCAGCCTGGCCCAGCTGACAGGCCTGCTGCCATCACTGGCTTTCCCTCCTGGGCCCCTGAGACATCTGACCTGGAGACAACCTCCAGGAGTGTGCTGGGCCTGCTTCCCTGGTGTGAACGGAAGAGTACATAGGGAGCAGGTGCAGAGGACTTGTCTGGAGCTGAGCCTTCCATGTCTACCACTGCTGGTGCTCAGGGAGCTACTCGTGACTTCGGTAGGTGACAAGAAAGCACTGCTTTACATTATAGATGAAGTAAATATTAGGAGAACATGTGTGTAGCAAGCTGGTGAAAACAGACTAGGTGAAAGCTGAGCAGGCACCCTGATGTCTCCTCTGCGCCCTCTGCTGTCAGTTTTGGGGAATGTGAACTGAACTAGGGAGGGATGGGGATCTAGGCTCAATAGCCTTGTCAAGGGGACCATGCCATGTTTCCTTTGAGCCCAGAGGTCTTTATGGACTGTACGGTTAGGACCAGAATTTGACAGACAGCTTATTTAGAGTCCATTCATTATACCTCAAAGACTGGCATCAAATTTATTATTATCTTTCGTTAAATATCTTAGATCATTTCAGAGAACACTGCCTAAAAGGGTAGAGTATGTTTTTCTTCCCCATTTCGTATGTGTGTACAAGTCAAGAGAGGTGATACAGACAGGTAATACACACGTGGGGGAGAGTTGAGGAGGACTCGGCACCCCCATTGCAGCCTTTGGTCCTCTGAGAGAACAGTCTCTCTGCTTCCATGAGGCCTTCTTGAGACTCAATCCCACAGTCAGGTTAGATGTGTAGGAATGGGGCGGTGGAGGGCCACAGGGAACAAAGAGGACTAGAGTCATACATGCATTCAACATATCATAGAAGAACAATACACTTAGTGGGGAGGGTTTGCCGAGCAAGCCCCTGCTTGCTGTCTGGTCGCCTGTCCTGCAAGCGTTCTTGTTGGGAGTGGGGTGAGTCTGGGGATTGATGGGACTCATCTTTGTGCAGCTTTCTTCTGGTACTGATGGTTGGGCAGTGTGAGCTGGGCTGGAGGGGTTCTGGGCAGAAAGGCTCCAGCTTCCATGGAGAGGTCTCTCAGGACAAAAGCTTGATTTATTCAGGGGTCAGTTTCAGGTACAAATATAGGGTTAGCAGAAGGCAGGGGCAGCCTGGGGACACGGAGTGATGGATGAATCAGGCCATGTGTCCTCTGTGCCAGCCCCAGAAGCCTTCCTTGGACAGAACCCACAGATCTTGACTCTAGAGGAAAGACCCAAGCAAGGGAGGTCCAGAACAGCAGCTGGTTTCTCAGGTTCTAGGCCATGCATGTGGAGCCTGGGAGCCTTCAAGAGAGGGGCCAAGAGCTGTAGTGACTGGCGTGCTGTGACTGCCCTTCAGTTGTTGGGGACTGAGATTCAGAAGGGTTGTCCTTGGGCTTCTTTCCCACAGGACTCCAATGAGTAAATTCTTCACAGCAGCGCCTGATCTTCTGATAAAACATGGGTCTTCTCAACACCTGGGGAGGTGCTGTTGCTTCCTTGTGATTTGTTGTTGCATACAAACAGCTGCCAGGAACTAGTTAGGTGTTTCGAGGACTCTTCCATTCCCACTTCCGGGCTTTGAGATGGAAATGAAATGGTCTCTCTTCAGCCCCGGAGGACCAGGAGAAAGAATCAGGAACACGGAAGGGAGGGGGGGACTTCAAGTGGATGGGATCGGGTTTGGGCAGGACATGGAGACTGTGGTCTAACTCTACCTGGCTCTACTGTGTGACTCTCAGACACATGTGTTCTTTATCAGAACCCTGTTACCCACCAGGGTGGTGAAAGGAAGTGCCGGAGAAGGTTCTTTGCCAGGGTGCTTATTTGAGGGCCAGCATCTGTGAACGCTGCTACCAGGCAACCGAATGTGGGGATGAGGATGACTGCCTGATGAAGGGGCACAGGAATGGTGAAGAGTTCAAGGGAACCCTTGTGTCTGAGTTTGACTCTTCCTGGCTAGGGATGCTGTAAAGGGGAATGGAAAACTCCTCCAGGGCTGGAGCTAGAGATGGATTCTCAGCCTGGGCCTCCAGTCTTGCCCCGATGAGGGTGTACCTCCTGCCCAGCTGCCAGATCTTGGTTTCAGCAAGGGACAGGAGGCCTTTCGGAGTGTTTCCTTAGTAGCTGTTGTCTGTGAAGAAGGGGGAGCCAGCAGACGGGGAACAGTCGCCTTCTTTGCATGGCTGGGAGACCTCCCCATACTCGCTGTTGTAAAACACTTTGCCTCCTTGTGCCCCTTGGGTGGGCCGCCGACGCCTCCCCTGGGGATCAGGGTGTCCTCTGGGAATATCCATGTGCTGGCCAGGACTCTTACAGCTGCCAAGACAGGGAGGATGGTCTTAATAAACAAAGTGAGAGGACCCTGGGTCAGGGTCTGATTGGAATTACCAGACACAAGCAGAGCATGACGCATGCGCAGAGGCTCTGAGACGCAAACAGATTTGACATCAGTCGCGCAGCAGAATCATCTGATGCGACGGGCAACTTTGCTGCCGCAAGCCGCAAGCCGCACAGGGTGTTGGAAATAGCCAACTTCATCCCCTCAACCCTGCTTCTTTAGGCTAAGTGAATCTACTTGCCGTGGGCAGGTGAACCTCATGCATTCATCTTCTGATGGGTTTTAGGAAAACCAGTACAGAGAATATTGCTCTCTGCTGCCACCTCTAGGGAAAAGTCCTCTTTGTCTTTGAAATTTTGATACCCACTTCCTTAGGATTCTTACTTTCCCTCCACTCTTTTCTTACCTCACCACAAAGCACCTAAGGTGTAGCACAGCCTTCCTGCTCCCAACCTATTCTGAAGCAGTGGGCTCCCAAGACAGCTATCCCTGTGTTGTTGTTCTCAACAAATGCTGTTAGTGTTCTCTCTAGGTCAAGCCAAGCACTTGAGTGTGATCCTTGATTGTCCTCAGTCTTCATATCCAGTCCGTACAGAGACCCTCCATTCTAACTGAAAAATACCTCCACTGACACTCATCTACCCTCAGACCCCTACTCCAGGGTTAGCATCACTGTCTACTCGGTGGTAATTCCCCTGGCATATGTCTCTACATCAATTCCCATTCCCTCCTGGAAGGGATTCAGAGAGATCTTTAAGGTTAGATGTGACATTGGTGTCTCCTCCTGCCATGCCTCCAAGGGTCACTCTTGGGATAAAATCCTAGCTTTGGGGCCTGGGGGAAGGGCCCCAAGTGCTTGCTGTGCAAGTATGAGGACCAAAGTTTGGATCCCCAGCACTCCTGTAAAAGAAAATCTTGATATCTTTTCTTCATCATAGTAATTTGGTCTCTATTTTTTTACATTTATTTATTTAGTGTGTGTGTGTGTGTGTGAGAGAGAGAGAGAGAGAGAGAGAGAGAGAGAGACAGACAGACAGACAGACAGACAGACAGAGACAGAGAGACAGAGACAGACATACAGAGAGAAATACACACACACACACACACACACACACACACACACACACACACACACAGACATACACATGTGGATAATAGAGGACAACCTATGTTCTTTTCCATGTGGGTCTTGAGGATGGAACTCAGGTCCTTGGGCCTAGTGTGCTTTAGTTGACTAAGTCATCTCCTGGCCCCAGAATATTTATCTTTAAAACTGAATTGTTCTGATAGGAAATTAGAGTTTACTCTTTCTTCTAGGTCAACTTATTTAGATACACTTAATTTTTTTAAATTAAAAATTTAAGTTTGTGTGTAGTGTGTGTATATGTATGTTTATGTATGTTATGTGTGTGTATGCCTTCAGAGTTCAGAAGAGGGCCTCAGAGCCGCTGGAGCTGGAGTTTCAGGAAGTTATGAGCTGCCAGATGTGGGTGCTGGGAAGAGAACTCAGGTCCTTTGGAAGAGCAGTAAGTACTATGAATTGTTGAGCCATCTCTCCAGCCCCCAGACATACTTCTAATAAGCAGATTCATGTCCTCTTTTATTTATATAAAAATGAAAACTTGTTCTTGGCTTACAAGTTTAAGAGAAATATTAATTTATTCACACTGCCCACCACACTTCCGCCTATTTTCTACACCTATTTTTTCTGATCCTTTTATCTCTTTATTTGGTTTAGTTTAATTTTATTGGTTCTTTTTGTTTTGTTTTCCTTTGAAGCAGGGTTTTTCCTGTGTAGATCTGGCTCTCCTGGAACTCTCTCTTTAGCCTAGGCTGGTCTCAAACACATGGAAACCCACCTGGTTCTGCCTCCTGAGTGCTGGGATTAAAGGTATGCACCACCACTGCCTGGCTTATTGGTTCTTTTTATTTCTTCCATTATACATCTGGTCATTTATATTGTCCTGGAGTACCTTGGTCTTCATTTTAAGAGGATTTATCTTTCACTTTCTTTCCTCTGTTACCCATTTGTGTTTTGAGCTATAGAATTTCTGATTCTTGGTGTTTGCTTCTTTACATATTTCATTCTCATTGACATATTGTGTTTGATTTACTCCTTTAAGATTTATTTGTTTTATTTAATGTGTATGTGTATACCATGTATGTGAAATGCTCATACAGGCCAGAAGAGGGTGTCAGATTCTCAAGAGCCACCATGTGGGTGCTGGGAATCACACCTGGGTCCTCTGTAAGAGCAGAAAGAGCTCTAAACCACCGAGCCATCTCTCTAGCCTCGGCATTCATGTCTTTTTTTTTTTTTAAAGATTTTATTTATTTATTATGTATACAACATTCTGCTTCCATATATATCTGCACACCAGAAGAGGGCACAAAATCTCATAACAGATGGTTGTGAGCCATCATGTGGTTGCTGGGAATTGAACTCAGGACCTCTGGAAGAGCAGCCAGTGCTCTTAACCTCTGAGCTATCTCTCCAGCTCTCTATCCTACTCTTACCATTGCTGTGAGGTCATGCTCCTCCAGACCCCAGCACCTTACTTTCAGACTTCTCAGCCTTGAGGGACACAAGTCAACTACACTTTTGCTCACTCTAAGTCACCCAGGCTTAGGTTTGCTGTCACAGCAGCAGAAGGTAAACTAATGCTGATGGCTTCCTAGGTTTCCTCATCCAAAAGCATCATTTCAGACCCACATCTTTGGTGTCACCTCTGGTCCCCTTGATCACATACCTTCCAAAGCCTCTACCCTGTCCTGCTTTATATCAATACCCACAGCCAACCTGTCACTTTCCCTGTAGTCATGCTGCCCAATCCAAACCTACACTGTTCAAGATTCCCCCCACCCCCCAGACTTGGAGGAACATGGCTCTGCAGAGTGTGGGGTCTGTATCCTGAATGGTTGCTTGAAAAAAATGATATAATTGGAAGTGAGGAAGAGTTGATGTCCCATGGGAAGAGTATAGCCTAAGGGTTAAAAGAGGGAGGAAAGACCTGGGCAAGTCAACTCACTCTTCCTCCCTACAGACTCTGCCCATCCTCAGCCTGCTATTCATCAGCACCTGCCCTGTGATTTGCTGCTCCTTTCAATGGCTTATCATAATGCATTTCCAGAGAAACCGGTGCAAACAGTAGCACCCTCTGCTGCTCTCCTGGTGAGGTGCTGTTTCTGCAATGCTTTCTCCTCCTTCTCTTCTAGCCTCTTCCTCTCCCTAGCTTTCTCTGAATTATGGACATTATCTTACTTTTGTAGGGTCATTATCTTCTAGAATTTTCTTCTTTCCTTATCACCAAGCAGCAACCCCTTCCAGCTTACCAACCTGTCAGAAGCAATTCCTTCCCAAGATAATTGCCTCTGGAGCCTCAGACTTGTGCCAGGGTCTTTGCTCTTCTCTGTTAAGCGTAGCCTTCTCCATTGTTTACTGACTGTGTGACACAGTGACACATTGCTTTCATGGGACTATCCCCAACTAATTCTCCTGCTGTGGCTCAGGCTTGATTCTGCTCGGAGCGATATGTCAAGAACACACACCCAAACACGTATACACACACATAGACATAGATACACAGATAGAGACAGACACACATGCACAGACACACAGAGGCACACTTACATAGATACACATACACAGAGACACAGACATACACAGACACACAGAGGCACACACACAGACACAGACACACATACACAGACACAGACACATAGAGACACACACACAGAGACACATAGACACAGACACACAGACATAACACAGACACACAGAGACACACACACACACAGACACTTAGACACAGACACACAGACATATACATAGACACACAGAGACACACACACACAGAGACACACATACATACAGACACATAGACACAGACACAACCACAGACACAGACACACACACGCACGCACGCACGCACGCACGCACGCACACACACACACACACACACACACACACACACACACCTTGCTTTTCAAGGAATTGTTTTTTTAAGGAAGAGTGGAGATTTGGTTTTCCATAGCAGTCAACATTACCTTTGGTGGTGCATGGTGGGTAGTGGGTAGTGGGGCAGAGCACTGGGTGGAGAAGCTCACTTTGAACACACAGAGAAAATAGGAAGCAGAAATTCTTCTGAGTGCCAGGCCCTGGTTCCATCAGCAGGCTCCCGCTCAGGGCCCTCCCGAGGATGGTGTGCCCACTTCTGGAGGTCCTTTCCAGAAGCTGCCTTCTTGTCTATGCCTGCACGCTATCTGCTCAAACTCCTCCGAGGCCAGCACCATCCCGCTGTCTGTCTGGTTATCCTGTGGGGAGAGAACCAGCCAAGCCTGTCGGCCACATGTGAGGCTATCCTGCAGGGCAGCTGTGTCCCAGCCTGGCCAGGTGTCGAGGAACCTGAGCCTTACTGGCCTTATACCCATGGGGACCAGTTAGGGGAGTGGATTCCAGCCCATCAGAATGTGCAGAGAAGGCCACACCTCTTACATAAAGGGAGACACTGTGGCCTGATGGTGGAGGTCTGGAAGGCAGGAGCTGTGTCAGGCCATGGGACACTCCAGACTGGAAGGCAATAGGCTCTGAGATTCCAGTTCCCAAAGGTCTTCATTGAGTGCTGAAGACATAAGCCTAGGTATCTGTGGTCTGCTCAAGGGCCCCTCCCTGATGACCTTATCACCCACCCTCCTTGGGTCACAGCTCACTGACTGAGTCCAGGATCCATGCCCCCTATTGGATGGACTTAGATCTGAAGTTATAGCATTGACTCCAAGCCATTGGCCACCAGAGCTCAGGCCTGGAGAGCCAGTCTCATCACTTACAGACACACTTGCTGAGCTTCACCGAGTTTTGCTATGTGTGACCTGATCTGAGGACATTAGGGGTCTGCAACTGAGTGGCCCCCTGCAAGCTTCCTGTTCCCACATCCTAACCTCTTTCAATGACACTCGTACTCTCCGGGTTGTTGATGCCAACCACCACCCACAGTGTCAACTGTGGCTTAGGCTGTTGGAATGTAAGCACACTCTCTCTCTTCCACAGACACACAACTCATATATACGTATATATATGAATATACATGAATGTCACAGTATGGGATGGAGGTCAGAGAACAACTTGGACTCAACTCCTACCATGTGGAAGGGATTGAACCCAGTTTGTAAGCTTATCCACTGAGCTGTCTCACTGGCTCCAAGCACTCTCTCTGTCTCTCTGTCTCTGTCTCTGTCTCTCTCTCTCTCCCTGTCTGTCTGTCTGTCTGTCTGTCTGTCTGTCTGTCTCTTTCCTTAAGAGCTACGTTTTCTACACAGCTGGGATAAAATAGGCAGGGAGGCCACATGTGAGAATGACCAGCAGCTGCGGGAGGATAGCTTGGAGTGATCACCAAGATGCAAAAGAGCTTAAGGTGTTCCCTGGACTTGAGATTTTCAAGGACTTTCCCAAGGAGACACCTTCATGCCTGTGTATTGTGGCCTACAGTAGGTACTGTGCACTGTGCTCACAGTAGGTGAGCAACTACCAGCCTAGGTGCCGTCAACAGAGGAAGGAACAGGAAAATGTGGTGTATGCATACAATGGGATTTTATTTGGCTGCAAAGAAGAATAAGGCACTGTTCTTTGCAGGGAATGTATGGAATTGGAGGATACCACATTAAGTGAAATAGGCCACATGGAAAGATGAGTATGGTAGGGTCTCTCAGGTGGAAGCTAGAAAATGGTTGACTTGGAAGTAGAACAGCCGTTAGTAGAGATTGGGAAGGGGGGGATGAAGTGGATAAAGGGAGGCTGGATTTTATTAGTGAATCCTAGATGCATGTCTTGAAATATCATTGCATCCATTAATACGTACAATTTACACATTGATAGAAATTAAACAAAAATATTTTAGAAGTTTTGCTTGCTTTTCTGTTACTTGTGTTGGAATACCTGATACTGTGCCCCACCTCCTAGCTTCCCTTGGCCCCATCTACCATGCTCATCCCTCCTCCCTCCACCTTTTCTTACCACGGAGGCTTTGTAGGTTGTAGGGGTCATGGGGAATTCTTCAAATGTTTTCATCCTGGAGGAACTTGGAGTCTGAGTCCCTCTGGTCAGGCATCCGGGAAAGGACACACAATTGTAATATCTGTGGGGAGGACACAGGAGGTTCTGATGAATTCATCCTAGCTTCTCCTACCTCTCAGGCTGCTTCTCTTCCTCATGAGGAAGGTCTTCCAGCCGGGTGGCAGAGTATGGGTGGGGCCTGGGTCCAAGGTGTGGACTGGTCCTCAGATCCCACGTTGGTGTCCATCACACAGCTCAGCTGACCTTGGTATGCCCCTCCTGGCTCCTTCCCTGCACTGCATTTTCTCTGCTGCATAAGAGAATTATAAATCCTCTGCTGGGGCTCTGCAGTAGAAGGAGAGTGGGGTAGCTATCCCCAGGCCGAGCATGGCATGGGGCATGAAGCAGAGTGGCATGTATGACCTTCTCCTCAGGGTGGACCACTGAGACAAGGCTGGCCATTAACCACTGACTGGCCTGCCCATATATGTGCACAAGTGTCAGTGTGCAGTGTGTTGGGGGCTTGGTGAAAGCAGCCTGGCAAGGACCAGCTTGTTGTTCTGTCCCAGGCATGTCACTGCCCTGAGCACATGGGACAGGAGATGCACATGGGACAGGAGCCCTGGAGCTCCAGTCTCTCTGTCATGTTGGTGAGAATGTGGATGGTATAATACATTAGATGTGTAAACTGCCAAGGGTGAGAGCCCTGGATCCAGGATTTTAGAAACAGGCTGTTTCACTCCTGAATATAGTGAGTGTGTGGTCTTCACTGCTCTTAGGGCCTTGCCTGTGGTCCTGGGGACATACTCTGGAGATGAAACGGCGATGGACCCTGGGAGGGGTCTTGGCCCAGACACAGCCTATCCTACTTTGTGTCCCCAAAGGAAAAGTGCTAAGGATGGGTACTCCCTTGAAAGTGGAGTGAAGGAGAGAGAGGCACAGAGATTTGCAGGAGGCTGGTTGCTGTGGTTTGGATATGGTTATAGTGTGTCTCCAAGGTCCATGTGCTAGAAGCTTCATCCGCCTCGTGAGGACACTGAGCTGAGGCTTAGTGGATGGGAGCATCCACCTCAGAATGGACTAATGACCCTGGTTGGTTCTCAAGAGACTGAGATGTAAGAAGAGTAGTGAGGGCCTCTGGCTTCCTCCGGCTTCTGTTCTCACCATATGCTTTCTTCTTCACGTACTTCTGCTATCATAATGCCACCTGCCACAATACTCTCCCCAGAGATAAGCGAATGCTGATACCGTCCATGTTCTTGAATCTCCATTGATGTGAACTGAATGGGCCTCTTTTCTTTCTAAAGCTCTCAGCCCCAGGTATTTTGTTATAGCAATGGGCTAAGACACTCCTGGGAAAAGATCTCTCAAGTCAGTTGTGTTTCCCTGAGGACTCATAAAAGATGCCATCCCCAAACTGCTGTCACCATCAGACCTGTGCCCAGCCCTGGGGGAGAGGAAAACTGACCTGGCTGCCAGGCTGTGGCAATGCACACTGGGTGGACTACTGTCAGCGTCAGCTTCAGTGATGTGCAGAGCTGTGGTGGACGCCTGCATGAAGCCACCCTCCTCTGAGCTCTGAGAGCTGTGCAGGGCCATGTGCTCTTCCTCCTCCTGGCAGGAATGGGAGAAATTTCCAGCGTCAGATGACCACATGCCCATCCTCAGTCTTAATGCTGCACTCAGGGCTACTGTGGTCCCGACCCTGGCCATAGGGTCAGGATGGATTGTGTGTGTGATCGAGTACTCTGAGAATTTAGTGGGCCCATGGTATGCCTTAGCACACTTCAATGTTCACAGCAGGCCAAGCATGAAGGTTGCTAAATGCCTGCTGGGCTGGCCTTGTCCAGTTCTTCCAACCACCCTACCAGGTCCTGGCAAGTGGGACAGGACAGGCCTCAGCTGAGCATCCTCAGTTCAGCTCCTAGAGCATGAGGTATCAGCCCCGAGCTGCTACCCTCAGGAAGTACCCCTGGGAAGGGAGATATGGAGGATGCACAAGTCCAGTGTTTTTGTTCTCATTAGTGCTGGAAGGTGAAGGAATGTACTGCCATCCTGTTTAAGACAGTATATTGCCTTATAGGCTCAGTGTGGGCTAGCCTGGGACTCCTTGTGGGTAAAGGTGACCTCTGACCATCTGTATGGCAGCTAGAGTAGACACTGGTAGTGTTTGGCCAGTTTCATACTGCGTGAGATGGAGCATGGACAGTGGGAGGATAGGCTCGTGGGCCAGTGGTCGGACATTGTGACCCTTGCTTGGTAGCTGACAGGTGATCAGTGCTTGGAGGGACTTGGAAAGACCGACAAGGCAGGAACCCAGGATTGGGCCATGGTTGCAGCAGGCAAGGACAAAGATGGGGCTCACCTGCCAGCCTCCGCCCTGAAGCAGGTCTCCCAGGATCTCCACTAGCTCAGAGAAGGCAGGCCTTGCTTTAGGGTCTCCAGACCAGCAACTCTGCATGATGTGACGTCTGTGGGGTGCAGCTGGTTGTTGACCTTTTGTCTGAGTGCACCATGACCCTCCCACCAGTCAGTCCCATCACTCCTGTATCGCCTGGATCACTATGGCAGTTTATTCCCTAAGGTTCATGTGATGGGAACTTGGTCCTCAGAGTGGTTGGCCACTGTTGAGGTCATGGACTTGTCAGAGATGGGGCCCACTGACAGGCCAAGGGGGTTTATGACTGGATTAATGCTGATCTTGAGGGGTGGGGTCTCTTGAGAGGAGGCTGTTGTATATAAATTCCCTTGTTTCCTGTCTCACTATGTGATACTGTCCCTTTCATGTGCTCCCAACATGATGCCATCTGCTATAGTGGGGTGCAGACGGAAGGTCTTCACCAGGGCTGAGTAGACAGAGGAGGGTGTCTGTTCTTGAACTTCTGAAATTGAGCTAAACAAACTTTCCCCTCTCCCATAAAGTGTTCCATGTCCAGTGTACTACAGAAACACAAAATGGACTAAAGCTCTGTCCCTCATACTTGCTCTGTTGTTCCCACTTCAGATTTAGTACTGGCTGTCCCTCCTGCCTGTCCCCCATCATTCTCTAGCTGTCTCCAGTCCCTCAAGTGTCACTTCAGTGTCCTCTCTTCCCCTGACCACCTGACTTTGTAGTGCTTCTCAGGTGTTCTAGGGTGTCTGTGTCTCATCTCATTATGTGACTACCATCTACGTGTACACTCAGCGGCAGGGACCTGGCCTGCTTTATGGGCTCTGGGTTTCCTGAGGATGGCACAGCAGTGAGATCCAGATCTCGGGCATGTTAGTAGATGAATGGATGGATCAGTGTTGGAGTGAGACAGTGTCTACCACAGATGGTATGCCCCTGTGCCATCTCCTGCCTGCCTGCTCTTTCTACCTCTTGCCCCACAACTCCATGACCCCCTTCCCTTGAGTGTCCCCATGCCTGCCCTGAGACCCTCCTCCATAAATGTAGACTTCCGCTTTCTGCCTTCCATCTCACGGTCTGTACCACCTCTCCCTATTCCCTGGGACTGCACACTTATCTCTCGATGCCTGTCCCCCAACAACTGTGTGGCAAGCCCGGAGACTCACATGGCAGGACTGGCCAGCTCTGGGGCCCTCATTCGAGTACCATCCTTCAGCCGCTGGCAGAACTCTTCGTTGATCTGCACCCCAGGGTATGGAGAGGCCCCTGATGGAAGAAAGGTGGTAGGATAGGTGGGGAACAGCCTGCCCTGTGTTCAGTCCAGCCTAACTTGTCCCCTCTTCTCTTCTACATTGCTACTAGTGTCAGTATGATGTCCTTACCCAGGGGCTGGGCTAGCTGCAGGGCGCCCCTCCCCCACTCTAGTTCTTCATCTAATTAAAAGGGGCTGAATGGGGCTGTAGAGATATCTCAGCAGTTAAGAACACTTGCTGTGCAGTCATGAGGGCAAGAATTCCCATCCCAACACCCATGTGACAAGCTGGACATCTGGCACATGTCTGTAACCCCAGATGCCATCAGGGCAGAGACAGGAGAATCACTGAGGATTGCTGGCTTCTAGAATAGCCAAGAAAGTGGCAGCCTCAGTTCTGGGAGATACCCTGCTTTGGAGGAACAAACAGAGCACCTGACACCATTTTCTGGCCGCCAAGTGCGTGTACACAGGTGCATGTACCACACAC